ACTTGAAAGCGCTGCTGCGGGAGCAGTCCCGTGGTAGCGCTTTGAAGTGCGAGTGTGGTCGCGCGCCAGCGCTGGGAGAGAGCTCTCCCAGCGCTGCAGGTACTCCACCTCCACGAGGGGGGTAGTAGCTGACGGTGGGGGGGGGGCGGCTCCCAAACACTGACGAAAAAAAAAAAAAAAAGCCCAGACTGGATGGAATGCCGCCCCTTAGCACGGGCCGCCCCAGGCCCGTGCTTCCTCCACTGGTGCCTGGAGCCAGCCCTGCAAGTCGGCTGGCACTGACCAGGTTTTTCTTTGCTGTGTAGACATACCCTGTGTGACTTGAAAGCTTGTCTCTCACTCACCAACAGAAGTTGGTCCAATAAAAGATATTACCTCACTTACCTTGTGTAACTAGTGCAGTGGTTTTCAGTCAGTGGTCTGCGAACCACTGGGGGTCCGCAGACTATGTATAGGATTTCCAAAGGGGTCCACTCCTCCATTCGAAATTTTTTAGGGGTCTGCAAATGAAGAAAGGTTGAAAACTACTGACCTAGTGGCAATGACATTGTGAGAAATCTCAGATACTTTGGAGTATTCCAGCTACCATGAACTTTACAGCTGTTGAACTGTGCACAGGGACTAGGGCTAATCTACACTGGCAACGTTAAAGCGCTGTCACGGCAGCGCTTCAACATGGCAGTGTAGTCGTGGCAGAGCGCTGGGAGAGAGCTCTCCCAGTGCTCTTTAAAAAACCCACCTCCACGAGGGGCATAGCTACTAGCACTGGTGCACTGTCTACACTGGTGCTTTACAGCGCTGAAACTTGCTGTGCTCAGGGGTATGGTTTTTTTCACACCGCTGAGCGAGAAAGTTGCAGCGCTGTAAAGTGCCAGTGTAGACAAGCCCCTAGTTTTACAGCCCTAGAATGCACTGAAATCATTCAAAGAACTTTCCTATTCCTGCTGGAGAAATTAGGCCAGGTCCACACTACAGGCCTATATCGGTACAACTATGTTGCTCAGGGGTGTGAAAAATGCACACCCCTGAGCGACGCAGTTGTAACGACCTAACCCCCAGGTAGATATGCGCTACTTTACCATGTAGGTGTTAGCAGGGTAATCTAGTGTCCGGGCCTGTACCCTTCACTGGTCTGCTGAGACCGCTGCCAAGGATGGCAACAGTACTAGAGATTGTGGTGATGAGGACATCTGTGCCCTAGGAATTGAACTGAGGCTTCCATAGCTACCGCCTCTTGGGGAGGTGGATTCTCCCGTCGGCGTCTTCACTAAAGTGCGATAGTGTTGAACATGAAGACAAGCCCTTAGTCTTGAAATGTCAAACAGTTCTAAGGATCCTCACCTTTACCTTCTTCTGTCCATATTTTCTAGGGGTACGTCTACACTACGAGATTAATTCGAATTTAGATAATTCGAATTTGGGAAACAGATTGTATAAATTCGATTGTGCGCGGCCACACTACCCCATTAATTTTAACCACATTAATTCGGTGGTGTGCGGCCACACTACCCCTAATTCGAATTAACAAAATCGATTTTGGTGCTACTCCGCTCGTCGGGGTGGAGTACAGAAATCGATTTTAAGTGCCCTTTAATTCGAAGTAACTGGCTCCGTTGTGTGGACGGGTTAAGGATTAATTCGGATTAACGCAGCTAAATCCGAATTAAAGTCGTAGTGTAGACCAGGCCTAGGTATCCTTTTCATGACTTGCAGGATAACAAGGGCATTTACCTGTCTTAAGTGGAGCCATTGAGAACCAGAGAGAGTGTTCTGTTATCCTGCAGGAAAGTAAGTTCTCACAGCTTTTTCAGAGCATGACACTGCAGGTAAAGATTGAATTAGCACATCATTGAGTTTGTGATACTTCTGGCCTGATATGCAGAGGTGCTGGAAGTCCACAATTCCCAGTGAACTCAGATTAAAGATGCTCAGTACTATGGTGATGTGAATCTGAACGGAACAGAATAGAACAGGAATTGCAGCATCTCTGAAAATCAGACCATTCCAGTCCAGCTGACTGACACCTTGACAAGTATTAGAACTGGTCATGCTGAATGATTGATTAATTGGCCTGCTGTAGGCTCTTTTGGACTTGTTTGGCTGCTTCTGTTTTAGGTAACTATGGGATATATGAAAGAACCATAGTGAACAAATAAAATTCATTTTCAACAAATTAGTTCTTTTAACAAGTTTGCTCTGTCACAGTTGTCTGTTCTGGGTTATGTTCCAAACAAATGGAGAGACTCCCTTCCCCTTAGTTCGCCTATGTTGACTCAGTTTTAAATGAGTCATTGCTGCTGCCTTTTGGCTCTAACTTGAGAGGGACTGAGCTGTCCAATCAGAATAAATCACGAGAATGGAGCCATGCATTTTCAGCAGAAAGGTAAGAGTTTTGCCACTGACTTGCTCTAGGATCTTGAACAAGTCACTAAAGCCAAAATATTCAAAATTGGCCACTCATTTTAGGTGCCTCAAATGTTGGTATCTTAGGGTCTGAGGTTGGCAACCCAGAAAATGAAACATCCGAAAGTAGAGGCCACTTTTGAAAATTTGGGCTTTAATCTATATGTGCCTCACTTTCCCCATCTGTATAATTGGTATAATAAGGCCTTAACTCACATGTCAGTTGTAAGGCCTAATTTCATTAATGTCTGTAAAGTGCTTTAAGATCCTGAGCTGACAGGTGTAATAGAAATGCAAAATATTATTTTCTATTATACAGTACATTGAGGGGAAAGACAATCAAGATTATTCTGCTTACTGAGGTGTTAACTACAATTCTGCTGTAAATCTGCCCAGGAAAACAGGCATTCTGCAGCTTTAAAACTTCGGAATGTCTTCTACACCAGCGCTTGATTTTCTAAGCCTCGTATTAAGACAAGAAATCTCCAAGAAATTTGTCAGACAAGTTTCTTTGTGGGTTTGAATGCTGATTTTATTTTATTTTTGGCCTTCTGATTCTGGCTCCTGCTTCCCTTCCTCATACCTGTGAAGGACTGTAACCAGGTCAGGGCCAGTGGGGAAGCCGCCCAGGGCGCAAAGCTGCTGGGGGTGGAGAAATAGAGCAAAAAAATGATGAAAAAACTGGTAAGGGGCTCAAATATGTTTGCTTGCCCCAGGTACTAAAATGCCTAGTTACACTTTGTACCTGTGACCTGCCTGGGAATTGACCTTTTACTTTACAGTTGAACCTAAATTTCAGTTTCTCGTGAAGTGCCAAACCACAGAACAAAGTCTGCTGCGTCACCACAGCATCATCTCAAATATACATTTACATGGCAGCACAGGAAATGAGGACTCTGGTGACTGATTTGAGGCTAAGGAAAATGTAGTTACTTTTTGGCTGTCCTTTAACGATATAACAACTTTTACATCAGATGGAGCCCTGTAATACGGGACTTACGCAAAGCTCAGTAAAGTCAAAGGGCTGGTCCACACTAACCCCCCAGTTCGAACTAAGATACGCAACTTCAGCTACGTGAATAACGTAGCTGAAGTCGAAGTACCTTAGTTCGAACTACAAGGTACTTACCGCGGGTCCACACGCGGCAGGCAGGTTCCCCCATCGACTCCGCGTACTCCTCTCGCGGAGCAGGAGTACCGGCGTCGACGGCGAGCACTTCCGGGATCGATTTATCGCGTCTTGTCTAGACGCGATAAATCGATCCCAGAAGATCGATTGCTTACCGCCGAACCTGGAGGTAAGTATAGACATACCCAAAGGAAATACTCCCATTGACTTCAGTGGACTTTGGATCTGATTCATAGCCACCCCCCCACCCCGTTAGGAAGCTTCTGCTGCCCCTGCCTCTACAGATAAATGGCCAAATTGTACTTCTCCTACCCCAGTGAAGCCACATAGGCAATTGTAAATTTGCTTCTAGCACTGAAGAGCATGAAGTAGTGGAGCTCTTGCCTGTCTGTAATGCAAATTGCCCAAAGCATGGCCACTTCCCTGAGGCCATGTCTACACTACAGTATTATGTCGACCTAACTTACGTCGACACTCAGCCACAGCAGTGATTAAATCGCCTGTGTGTGCGCTCGCAGGAGCGCTTGTATCAATTGTATTGTCAGTGCGTAGCATTGTAGGATGGCTCCTGAAAGTCAATAACAGGCTTCTACAGCTAGGTTCATGCAAGGCAGCTTGTGTCCATCTAACCCTGTAGTGTAGACCAGGCCTGAGAGGTGCCTGTCTATCTTACATCTTGATATAGTGCTATCCCTATGGTTTCTGAAAGCTGCTCTACCCACTCATTCCCCCTCCGATAGTGTTTTGCACCCTTCAGAGTTATAGTTAAGCCCCAAACTTTTATTTTTGCCTGTTTCACTTTCACTCACCTACTACAGTAATTAATCTTGTTGCACACAGTCATTATTTTTGCAGGTGCAAATAGTAGAAATAAATGGTATGGTCTATCTTTAATGCTTGTTCCTATTTAAATTCTATGCAGATGGCTGTTTGGCCTGTGTTCCTCTTGGTTTGCTATTTTGTCGACGTTGTCAAATGCAATTTACGCATGATGAACTCCGATCCATTGTAAACATCTCATAACCTGCACAATATTTAACTAGACGTCTGTGGTTATTAGCTTCTTATATTGCATTGTTCTTCCTCCACGTACTAATTTTATATTTGACACAATAAGCCAGTCCCTAAACTCTTGCTTCAGTATGAGCAAATGAACATGAATGTTTTAAACAAAGGAGCCTTTAATGAAACACCAGTATAAGTTATGCTGATTTCTTCTGTTGCTTCAGTTTTGTAAGTATATGTTTAACTTGGTGATTTCACACACTGGTTGGAACCATTCGTTATATATTAACTTAGAGCTCGATCCGAAAAGGTACTGAGTGTTCCTGTGAAGTGCCAAGTGGCTTTCACACCCAGTGGGAGTGGAACACACTCAGCACCATGCAGGACTGGCCCTTAATACCCAGGCAACAGCAGGCACTTTAAACCAAGCAGATTTTCTGTGCTCTAGTGTGAGACAAGGTTCATATGGTAGTTGTGTAATATTTTCATGCAATGGATTTTCATGCACTTACATTAAATCTCATCTAAAAGAATCAATGGCTGTTGGAAGACTTAAAAATAGAGGTATGTGGATTGGTACTTAATTACGTTTAGTGTTTGTTATGTTCTCAGTTGTTCTAATTAGGTGCTGAAGAATTTTAAAGAAAATCCTGTATCTTGTGTTACTAGAACCGATCTGTGTCCAGAATCAGAATATTAGATTGAGACAAATGTTTTCACTCTTTAGTGTCTTTAGCTTCTATGTGACTTCCACCACTGTAGAAAAGTGTTTTTTATGGTTGTAGATGATCTGAGTAATTTATCTAAATAGAATATCTGTATATTACATGTTATTGCATCTGTATATTGTACAGCTTTGAAGTCTTTTGCACATAGATGGCTAAAGCTGATTCAGTAGACACTTAAATCGGAGCTTAGGGGACTGGTTTGTTAGGAACTATCCATGCCAGCAGTTCCCAAGTCCTGAAACATTTTTTCAAGGTCAGTTCTGGAAAAGTGTTTTCAGTAATATGGTTGTGCCAATTGTTGTGGACTCTCCGGGCCTCATCCAGCTCAGTGGGAGTCCTGTTATTTGTTTCAGTAGGAGTTGGAGTAGGCCTTGTATGCAGAGTCATATCCTGGTCGACTGGAAGTCAGTGGGAGTTTTGCTATGGACTCCAGTAAGATCAGGCTTCAGCCCATTAACTTATTCTTAAATGTGCACTACCACAGCAGAAATTTTAAAAGGTCAAAAGTATGAGACAGCACTTAGGAAACAGATCAGCTGCTTACATTTTAGGAAAACAAGTAAATAATCAGCGGTTCAAGCCCTGCCCCAATTGACGTTGATGTCAAAATTCAGATTTACTTTAATGAGACCAGGATTTGGCACAATATGTGCAAACTAGAGTGTTTATTCTTCCTCCTTCTCTGGAATTTATATAACTTTTCCAGAGAAACTGGTCTAGACTGCTGTGTTGTTTATAACCGAAGAGAGTTGTATACAAATAGAATTCTCTCTCTTCACTAGTAAATGGCACTTGCCATCATTAAGAAAGTGTGGAGAAAATAGTTGACTTTTGTTCTGGATTCACTTGCTACTAGTGCTAATTAGAAGCTGAAAACAACAACATAATTTTGCATGCAGACTTGCACTTCAAGTCTGTCAGAGGAGAGTGCCTGCAGCATTGTTGGACTGTCAGAATTGAAATGGACATGACTATAAGGGAGGAACAATGGCTGTTTTAGGGATTGTAGGATGAGCCCTAGTTTAGTTTTGATAAATAATTCTATGTGATAATACCTGTGTCTTCTCGAAGTAAACCACCCGACTGTTGGAGACTATTTTGGCCCCAATCCTGAAAACACCTACATATGTGAATAGTCCCATGTGACTGCATAAGTAACTTTATGCATGTGAGTGAACGGGACTAGTCATGTGCGTAACATTACTCAGACATGTAAGTGTTTGCAGGATCAAGGCTTTAATGATTAATTTGAACTGAAATCAGTACAGATATAAGTATGCTACACTCAAGCAAGTTGCTGAATGGCCAGTTTGCTGGGATGAGGCAGTCAAGTTTGCCAGGTGTTTCTTGTGAGTAAACAAAAGTGAAAAAGAAGTAAGTGAGAAAAAGAGGTGGAGTAGGAGACAGTCATAAATTAACGAGAGGCACCTGTGTACCTAAGGTACAATTCGCTAATCTAGCAACTAGCATTTTTCATGTGTAGGAAGTTAAAATGACTAGGTTGCCCCTTAAAAGGAAAATGGAAATATAAGTGGAAGTTTATGTAAACAGGGTGGACTCTCCATAACAAAGAAGCATTTATCAAATACTTTCACTGTAAAATGCAGGCACCATTAGATTCCATGGCAGGAAATTGTAGCAATTAGACATCATTCTCCCTGGGAAGATAATTTTCCTATTTGTGTCAATGAGTTTGTTCTTACATACTAATATTATTTTTATTAATATTAACAAAATGTAAACTGTTTAATACTGTGAGACTTAACCCACTGAAAACTCTTGATTTGATTCTCCTTTCACTTAACACCAGTTTAAATCTGGAATTAATTTGTTTTTATTTTTAGAACCCAAATTTTCCCAGTTGTGCTCACATCTACACCTAAAAATATTCTCAAATGTGACTATTTTTACAAGCACAAATTTAGGATCTTTCATGCACTGTTCTTTGTTAAGTGTTTAAAATTCAAAGTACAGAACATTGTGCATAGAATGTTATGGGATTAGTGTATTTATTGGCTGCAACATAAACGATTTAAACTAAAGTATTGATCTGACCATGAAAAACACTGCATACCAAATATATAAATAAATAACGGCCCAGTGAATTCCAAAAGGCTTTTAAACTAATTAATATATTTTCTTGATTTGGCTCGGTTAGGATAATATCAGTCAGCTGAGATAGCTGGTTATGGTGGTGCACTTTTTTACTCTTCTGTTTGTAATATTTTACTCTTTCACAGGAAAAGCAGCATGAAAAGATTATTTCCTACAGATCTTTAAGATGTTCAGAATTAAAACTTTCACATAAGTTTTGTCTAGCTCGGATAATTACCCGTTGCTGACAGTGGATGTCAGCAGTGGGTCAGGGGAACAGGTGCTAAACATGGTCTAATCAGAAGTGTAGAACAAGAAAACCATGGATAAAACAGATTTAAAGTGAGTTGATTTTAATACACTGTTAAAGGTTTGGCTGAACCAATTGCTGGTCCCGTTGTCAGCAATGGGTATTTTTCCTAGTGTAGATAAGGCTATAGATATTTTTTTTAACCACTTTAAGAAGAATTTATTCCAGGCAATATGTTTACTGAGTGATTTTTATAAACAGTGATTTTAGAGGTATATAGAAATAATGTATGTACATATATGGGCATATGCATTATGGAGGCCTTTGGGATTGTATATAAAGCAGAATTAGAATCCCTCTGTTTAATGACTGATTTTAATATTTGGCACAAAAACTCTTCATGGAATTGTATTTTCCATGTAATTTTTAAATGAAAGTATTTTCTCACTTTTGCAGAGGCAATATTTTAAAATACTCCCTGATTGAACTTTTGCCCTGATCATTTTGCATTTCTTTGGGTTCCTCTCACTAAACAACCACTATCTGTACAAACACCAAACACACATATTCCAATAATATCTCAGGCACAGGCCACTTCTGACATTTAAAAACTAAATACACAGAGAGAATTATTCCCCTTACTCATAATAACCTGTTTGAGCTACGCCAAGATTAGACAATGGAATTTTTTATGCCCATCAGCCATTTCCATTTTCCAGCACTGCCAGCCTGCCCCGGTTTACCATACTATCCTCACAGAGACCAGGGGGAGCTAGGAAGGCAGGCTGAACAGCAGGGAGCATGAGGATGGGCTGTGGAGGAAAGAGATGGGGACCTAGGGGTCCATGGCGTAACATGTGGTGGAGTGAAACACCACACACAGATAGGGTGACCAGATGTCCCGATTGTATAGGGACAGTCGCAATATTGGGGCTTTGTTTTTTATAGGTGCCTATTACTCCCCACCCCGTCCTGATTTTTCACACTTGCTGCCTCGTCACCCTACACACAGAGCACAGAATGTGTTCTAGAAATGTCACAGCAGGCAGGGGGCTGGAGCATTCCTATGCTTTGCTATTCCCTAGATGTCACAAGTCCCATGGTACAAGTTAGAGCAATCAGTAACCCCAGGCTAGGAGTGTCACAAACTGCCTCCCTTGTTATTTGCTCTAGAATTGGGGCTCAAACCTCTGCCTCAGTTTTTAACAGACAGGCAGCCAAATTCACGGGGGTGTGGGAGGGGAGGTCGGTGCTGAAGTCATTTCAGTTACATTTTTTGACCTGAGATTTGACAAGGTCTTTTAAAAGGGATAAAGTCACTGACAAAAATAGAACTGTCCATTTTGTTATTTGGAATCTTTATGCAAAGACAGGACTTATTGAAGTAAATTAACTACTGTTGTAAGGAAACTTGCAATCTTACGGTTCAGACTGATACCATGATTATAGAAGACACAAATTAGTCAAGTTCAGAAACTCCAGCATCAAAATAAATCAGGCAGAAAGGTCTTCCAACAGCCACCTTAGCCTGAACTCTTTCTGGAAAACTAGCATTCTTGCTTTGGTTCTTGTCACAGGTGCACAAGGGCAGTAGATTATTTTTATTCATATATAGGCTTTTGTATGGCACTCATCACTATGGTATCTGAGCACCTCACAATCATTAATAGATTTGTCCTCACAATGCCCATTTGAGGTAGGGAAGTATTATTACGCCCACTTCTTTACAGATGAGGAATTCAGACAGAGAAAGAGTGAGAGCTCAAGGTCGCACAGAAATAGAACGCAGAACTCCCGTGTCCCAGCCCAGTGCTTCAAACACAACACTATCTGCTCTGTCTGAGATGTGAATTTTCCTTTTTTTAAAGACTTTGGCATTGTTTTCAATACTGGTGAAATTCTGAACATTTGACCTCTACTTTTATTTCCAATTGGTTCATTCTTGACAGCAACTGGAATAACTGAGTTCATTCGAAGTCCAAGGACACTAAGAAAAGGACGCTGTAGATAGACCTTGTGTTTTTTTTGTTTTTTTTTTTTTAAATCAAAGGGCCTATTTGCTCTGTGGGAGAGGAAGGTTGAGCTTGGCAGGGAGACACAGAGACATTGAGAGTATTACATTTATGGCATCATTTCCCTCCTTTCTGAGGGGGGCTCTTCAGTGGTCAGGATCTGCAGCTGTGCAGAGGCAGGCTAGGGCCTTAGAGGGGGCACCACAGACCCCAGAAACTCATGTTTGTGGGTAAATTAGTGCTGTCCCTGTCAGCATTAACATACTGGTGGTCCCCAGCACAGTTTGGAAACCAGGTCCACTAGTCCAAGTGGGGACCAACTGTAGTGCAGAAGTACAAGGCCTCTGGACAGATGGGCCATCTGCAGAGCTCAGGGGATCTGTGAGTTTAGGAAGTGGAACCCTTAGCTACTTCAATAAGAGGTCAAACTCAGGCCCAATGGAACAATTCTAGGGAAATTCTGTGAGTCTAAATTTGCTG